TAATATCATATATATATTTAGAGTATAAAAATTGGCAAATTGTTATTTTTTATTCATTTCACTACATTTTTTGATTAATTTATATATAATATTAACGTTAAAACTATGAATCAATTCTCTAATTACTTATTTCAATACTAAACAAAAAAAGTGTTTTCAATTTACTAACATTAATGCAATAGTAAATCACCATAAATAAGAAGATAAGAAGATTCAAATCCTAAATACAGTCCAAATGATTAAAAGTATATGAGATAATTTAAATGCTAAGATTAATTAAAAAATCAACCACAAACCATTTTAAACTCTCCAACAAATAAATAAAATTATATTGCTAGTAAAATTAAAGGAAAAGGTAAAGAAAATAATAATTAATATAATGCAAACATAATTAATTATCCTTATAAGATTCCTATTGATGTAAAAAGCCCTTAGAATTATAAATAAAATTAATATAATGCTAAATAACCTACACCTGAATTTGAAAATAGATATGAAAATGATGATAGAGGATAAGTTTTGAGATTATCAAATTCAGAATTAAATTTCCGCTTTGTAATTTCAAAACAAGAATCAGAATAAAACTCAGAATAACAGCCAATTTAAATTTATAATGAGTCTTCATAAATATCACCAAACAATTTAACAAAATCAGATGAACTCTTAGTTGAAATAGATTCAGTCAGAAAATCAAGATTTTCTAAAACAAAAACTATAGCTGTCCAAGCATTTGAAAGTACAGAATACGAAAAAACTGAAGACTAATTAAATAAAATTTTTGGATCTTTGAAGAAAGTTAAGATCATAAAAAAAAAGTTCTCTTAACCAACAATTTAAACTTAAGGTACTTAAAGAACAATGGAGGATGATAGTATGACTAAAGTATAAATAAACAAATAAGTAAAAACTATTGGTGGTTTATCTAATATTGATATTTAAAGTATGCAATTAAGAACAGAATTAACAGATTTAGTAATAAAGATAAACATTCTATTTTTTAGGATTCTTAAAGAAGTAAGAGTACTTATTATAATGAAAGTGATAGAAATTTTAGTAGTTTTAGAAATAATGTTGTAACTCCAAGAAAAATGTAATCAAATAAAATAAGTATATATTTTATTCAAATTAAGGTTTCTTAATGTACAAGAAGAAATTAGAAAGAAAATAATGAAATTAATTTTTAGTTTTATTCATTTTAAATCAATTAAATACAAATTTATCATTCTTATATATTAAATTGAATTAGAGATTCTTTATGAACGAATGAAATATTTCATTTTTTTAAAATTAACTTTAAATAGTAATAATATTTTTTAGTTAAATATATTTATATATATATATATTTTATATTAAAAGTATAATTTACATTTCAATTTAAATTCTACTCAATTTTAATAAATATGAATATAATCAATTTTTTTATATATTTTCTATCAATTTAAGAGTTTAGACACAATTCTATTTTGTTTCTTTTCCTGGTTTAATACATAAAATAAGAATGCCTTTATCTTTATTATCTTTAATAAATCCCTATTATCCTCTACATATAATAACATTTTAATCACTTTAGGCAATTAATTGATAATTCTTTGAACCTGCTTTTAGAGTTTTAATAGTTGATTTAAAATCATCATTTATTTAAACATTAATTTATTTATCTCCTTAATCTGTTTGGATAGATAATTTAAAATATTTAGGCATAAGTTTTTTAATGAGTTCTATAAACAATTTTTATTTTCCACTATTATTAAATCCAATTATGGTAGTTAGTTTTGATGTAATAACATCATTTGAACTACTAACAACTGGTTATTTCAAATAATAATATTTTAAGGAATGCACAGTTCCATCTTAATTTATTTTCTTGACTTCAATTCTTTAAGGAGTCATCAATTTGATTTCATCATTTAATCTATTTGCAATAGGAAAATATAAATAAGGTTATTATTAGTTAGATTAATGAATAGATTGAGAAGTAATTCTACTTTCATTGATTGGTTTTGTTTCATAGTGATTGATAAAGGTTTTTAAACTATTTAAGTATTCTCTGGCTGCTTTTGGTGACATGGCTTATCGCAATGTAGGGGATTGATATTGAGACATAATTGATTAATCATTAATTTTCTCTTATGGTCTATTCTATCTAGTAAGTGGAGTTTTTGTGATTATCTAACCATAAGGAGATTTGATTAATGAGGATTAGCTGTTACTATAATACATTATAAAAAGATATTAAAATTATTCTTAACAAATACATTTATAATTGAATAAGATTTATAAACATTTTATAAATATTAATTTAACAGATAAAATAAAAATAATGAATAATTCAAGATCATCTGCTAGAAAAGGAACTAATAATCTTCCAGTTTAAACAGGAGATATAGAGGAATACATGTAATATTCTCAATTTATCATAGATAAATATTATATGAGCATTAAAAGAGTTGTGAAAAAGCTGGAAAATATATAGAAGCTGATTAAGCAAAAAAAAGACTTGTTGAATTAAAAAAAGAATTGGATTAAAAGAATAAATATGAAGTTAAGGATAGACATACAAATGAAAAATAAGAGATTGAAAAGGCTCATCTTGATGAATTTAATCAATTTAACGAATTTTGGGATTAAAAAATGGCTGAATTTGATTAAGAAGCTTAAAGAGTTAAAGAATAAGTCTTATAAAGACATGATGAAGAGTTAAAACAATTTACAGAAGAATTAGAGAATTCTATTCCTGTCAAACCAAAAGACTCTGCTGAATTACTTAGTTTGAGAAAGACTGAAGAATCATTGGCTAGACAAGAAAAGTATTAAATTTAATCATAAAATTAGTTATTAAGAAGCTCATCTAACTTAATAAAGGATATTAGCAATGGAAAGAGATGAATATGAAAAATGGAATTAATCAAGAATGATTAAAATTAAAAATCTAATCTCTCAACTTAAATTAAAATAAACTAATGAATTAGGTGCATTGTAATAAAGAATCATATCTGGATAAGAAGAATAAAGAAAGATTAGATCTTAAGAATTAGAGAAGTATTTCTTAATATAATATATAATAGATTATTATAAAAATATTAAAATGTAAGAAAGGAATTAACTAGTTAATAAAACTAAGAGATTACAAGACTTGATAAAACTATGAAAAATCAATCTATTATGTAATAATCTAGAATGAATTCATCTAAAATGATGAATTCTTAAATGAGAAAAGGAGATGAAGAAAATTTCTATATAAAATGAAACATTAATATATATATATATATAACTTAATATCAATATTAATAATCTATTTATCTTTATGTATTCTTAAATATATATATATAAATATTATATAGATATTTAGAATTTATCTTACTTTTATTATATTTGTAAAAAATAAAAATATAAGAAATAAATTTATTTTTAGTATTAAATAGAGAATGTTATTTGAAATCTGATGTATAATATCATAAAAATTAATTTATCATTAGCAACCTGGACATTTATAATGTTCAATTTATTCTGCTTCTTCTGGTTTAATATTAACACAATCTAAATGAAACCATTCTCCACATGTTTCACATTAAATCATTTATATATCTGGATTCTATGGCATTCTACAAACACATGATTTTGGCCATTCTCCAACTGTAGGCATAGGTTCCATTGTTTTAAGATCTATTGCTGCTCTACTAAAGAATTTAGTTTCTTCTTCATATTCTAATTATGTATATTGATCAAATGTCATCACTTCTATAGGACATTATAATTTATTAGCTGCCAAAAATTCAATATGAGTTGAAAAAAATAATTCCTTTATTGAAATACATTTCATAAGTTTCTTATCTAAATTTAGATCTTATTTTGTGTAATACCTATAAATAATATGAAATAGAAAATACCATTAAACTTATATTACAGGAACATATTGATTATTATAATCTTTAATACAAAATATCTTGATTAGTTTACCTGAGTACACATCATTATTATTAGCACAAACAGCAACATCTTAATTCAATCTGAATATTTAATTCTTTATTTTTATAGAGTTGTATTGTTTAAGTCTAAAATAATAAACTAAATAAGTATACTTATTTGGATCTCTTCTAGAAATCATCTAAATAAGTGCAGCATATTTTTATTCCTTAATTAATTCATCTATCTTTTTTTACGATATTGAAGAATCGTCTTCTTTCATAATTTTAATTTTGTTTCTAACTCATTAGTCTTTTCTATAAAATCAAAGTCCTGAATTTATTTGGGACTAATTTTATAATAATTAAAAATGTATGCAATTGATTTTATTTGATTATAAATTATAATGTCAATAAATTATTCATTTATAGATATTAATCTATTTTTCATAAATCTTTATTTAATGAGAAAGAAGATAAATAAAAAGTCTATTCATTATACTATTAATAGTAGAAAATAATAAATCTAAACTTTAAATTTAATATTATTTCAAAAATATTGTATTTTCTTAAATATTCTTAATAATTATTGAGATTTAAAAAAAACAATAAAAAACAACGTAAATCTTAATTTCATGATCTAAATAAATTAAACATCAAATTTAAAAGATATTATAAAATAGTTAGTAAAAGTATAGGAAAACATTTTCATTAAAAACTTCTGACAATTTGGGTTAAGTAAAAATAAATTTTAAGTAGATATATAAATTATCCATGTTGACATCAATATTGCTAATGAGCTTGTTTTAACAGAATGAAATAAAATTATCATTCATATTCTATTAATAATCAATCGGATTACATAATAATCTTACTTAAGAAAAATAGAAACTGAATTTTAATTAAAAAAAAATGGATGAATAAAATAATAAAAGTATTTAATGTAATTTTGAAAAGAATTAATTATTATATTTTACATCAATAATTATGAAGAAAAACTCTAATAATTATATTGAATGCTATTTATAAATATATTAATATATAGAGAAATTAAAAATTGAATATCTTAAATTTATAGTAGTATTATGATAAATGATATCAATATCTAGGTTTTCTATTAGTAGCCATAGTCTTTCTTTCTTATCTCATACAAGCATCCTAATATAATCTTTAATGAGCATTTGATTTTGTATTAGTATTACATTTTGTCTTAATTACTCCTATCAATAATATATTAAAATTTACTATTTTAATTAATAGATTCTGAAAAAATTGATTTACTCATTGATGATTTTGAATGTTATTCTCTTGTTTTTGGAATATTTGAAAAATATTTAACAGGACTTCTTTATGGAGGTTGATTTTCTTATTCTTCATAATATATCTTATTTTTATTGACTAAACTCATTTAACTAAATAGATATTTAAAATTATTACATAAATTTTAAAAATGAATCATCATCTTCATTTTTNTTAATTAATTCATCTATCTTTTTTTACGATATTGAAGAATCGTCTTCTTTCATAATTTTAATTTTGTTTCTAACTCATTAGTCTTTTCTATAAAATCAAAGTCCTGAATTTATTTGGGACTAATTTTATAATAATTAAAAATGTATGCAATTGATTTTATTTGATTATAAATTAGATATTAATCTATTTTTCATAAATCTTTATTTAATGAGAAAGAAGATAAATAAAAAGTCTATTCATTATACTATTAATAGTAGAAAATAATAAATCTAAACTTTAAATTTAATATTATTTCAAAAATATTGTATTTTCTTAAATATTCTTAATAATTATTGAGATTTAAAAAAAACAATAAAAAACAACGTAAATCTTAATTTCATGATCTAAATAAATTAAACATCAAATTTAAAAGATATTATAAAATAGTTAGTAAAAGTATAGGAAAACATTTTCATTAAAAACTTCTGACAATTTGGGTTAAGTAAAAATAAATTTTAAGTAGATATATAAATTATCCATGTTGACATCAATATTGCTAATGAGCTTGTTTTAACAGAATGAAATAAAATTATCATTCATATTCTATTAATAATCAATCGGATTACATAATAATCTTACTTAAGAAAAATAGAAACTGAATTTTAATTAAAAAAAAATGGATGAATAAAATAATAAAAGTATTTAATGTAATTTTGAAAAGAATTAATTATTATATTTTACATCAATAATTATGAAGAAAAACTCTAATAATTATATTGAATGCTATTTATAAATATATTAATATATAGAGAAATTAAAAATTGAATATCTTAAATTTATAGTAGTATTATGATAAATGATATCAATATCTAGGTTTTCTATTAGTAGCCATAGTCTTTCTTTCTTATCTCATACAAGCATCCTAATATAATCTTTAATGAGCATTTGATTTTGTATTAGTATTACATTTTGTCTTAATTACTCCTATCAATAATATATTAAAATTTACTATTTTAATTAATAGATTCTGAAAAAATTGATTTACTCATTGATGATTTTGAATGTTATTCTCTTGTTTTTGGAATATTTGAAAAATATTTAACAGGACTTCTTTATGGAGGTTGATTTTCTTATTCTTCATAATATATCTTATTTTTATTGACTAAACTCATTTAACTAAATAGATATTTAAAATTATTACATAAATTTTAAAAATGAATCATCATCTTCATTTTTAGGTTATGGTATAACATTTAAAGAAACAATTTAGTTATTTATTGATAAATTCTTAATTTTTTAACTAGAAAGTGACTATTAAACAGATGGTTGTTATTAACTTTAGTTTGTTTCTGTATTTCTTTTATCTAATTCTTAAATGACTTTATTGAGAATTTATTCAGTCATTTGATCGAAATTAAATTCATGATCAAACTTTTATGGAGATCTATATATTAAAGGTAATTATTAAGTTGATGTATTTTATATGCCTTAATCTGATTATTAAGATTAAGTGGATTAATAATGTTAATGAAGATAATGTATGTTAACTCTTGCTGATGGTAATTCATCAGTAGGTTTTATTTAATTATCATCACATTATATTTATACTTCTCTAGTAGTCAAACATGATTAAGAATATGTAGAGTTTTATCTTTATGATATTTATACTGAATTTCTTTTAAATGAAGTATCTGATTATAATTCAGTTAGATCAGTCTAAGTATCAACTGATTATCTATTTAACTTTAATTGCGTTATTTATTTAATCGGAATAGTTTTTTTTATGGATTACTAATAGGCATTTTGTTTTGCAATTTAGGCTTGTTATTTTCTAAAATTGATTATGAAATCTCTGATTGATGGAGATACTTCATCTCTAAAACTCTTAGATTCTTATATTTCTTATGAAGACATATATTCGTTAATTATTATTATTTATAATATATTGTTATATAATAAATATATGTTTTTCATTAATTATAAATTTATTTGATTAATATGATATATTAATTTAGAATTAAAAGATGTTATAATATTTATATTCTAAATAAATATTGTTAATGGAATTTTAAACAATTATAAGTATAATTATTTAATTAGTTATTATATAATTTATTATGAAATTTAATGAATAGAATATATATCTATATAGTGTTAATTATATTTTATAGACAATATAATAATAAACATAATTAGACTATTTCATTATAATAATAATTATAAAATGTGATGAGATATAATAATTTAAATGTTAATGAAGAAAAATATCATTCATAAATAATCTGATGAATTGTATGATTTTTTATTTATTGAAGATAAGGATTTGAGTATCTCTGTGACATTGTGATTTACAGAATGTTATTTGACTTCTTCATCAGTATCACAATCATCATCTTAAGTCTAAATTTAAAATAAATTGTACTCTTTTTTTTAGTTTGTTTAATATCTCTTTTGGAAATTATAAATATTTTTCATTATAACAAGGATATGAAACATAAGATTCTGATTTTGGATTAAAAAATTTAGCATCCGGTAATCTGCCAAGAATTTTTTAATATTAATTGCTAATTGAATGCTTCATCTACATTTTTTGTTATTATTTTATAGTATCATAATTAGTTAGATCAGTTAACTTACGAATACCATCTGATTTGATATATTTTGTAGATAATGAGGAACTAAAAAAATGAGCGCAAATTTTTACTTATTCTCTTTAGTTTACATTAGATAAATTAAATATAAAAAAGTGTGATTAATAATTTAAATTTATCAATATATTCAAAGAATCATTCAAAAATAAAGTAAACAATTAATAATAATGAATGAAATGTAAATGAAATGAAAACCTATTAATAATTTATATAAAAATGATTATATTAATTATAGCAACAGTGTCTTGTCTGGATATTAATTTGACAAATCTACAATTTAATTATTATAGTTTACCTATATTAGCAAATAATAATACATATAATCTAATTGTAGATACTGGCAATGAAGAAATGTGGATATTTGGAAAGAATTCCAATAGAAGAAATTATTTTGAATGCTAAAATTGTGTTCCAATTGAGAATCATACATTAGAATATGCATAAGGCAAGATCTCTGGATTTAAATTCAATCAAATATTTTCATTAATGAATCAATCTTTAATATTATAAGTAATTGAAGCATCTAAAGTTGAACATTTTTATTCAATAATTGCTGATGGTGCTATTGGATTAAGTAGAAAATAACTATCTAAAGAAGATAACTTTTTAAAGAAATTATATGATTCAAAAGTTATTGATGATATATAATTTGGACTTTTATTAAATGAATAAAATTGTTAACCTACATCAATTTTAATTCTTGGAACACCAAATAAAAATTATTATATCAATGAATTATAATATGTAAAATCAATTGAATCAGAATAATGGACTGTAAAAGGTAAATCAATAGAAATTTTTGGGAAAAACAAAAAATATGAATTAGAATCATATTCATAAATTATTGTATTTGATAGTGGAATATCTAAAATTCAAATATCAAAATATAAATTAAATAAACTAATTGCAATTTTGAATGAAAATTATTAATTGAATTGTTATAAAGAAACTTAGAATCAAATTAATGAAATTGTATGTTCATATAATGAATAATCATTTCCTGAATTGAATATTAATATTGATAATAATATTACCTTAACACTATTACCACAAGATTATATTGCATATTGTCATTACAATTATTTTTTATAACATATATGTTATTTAAATTTTCAATAGATTGATAATAAAGATATTCTAGTATTGGGATCAGTATTTTTATAAAAGTATTATACACATTATGATGTTACTACATAGTAAATTGGTATTGCTAAATCCATATATTATTGTAAGATATAAATTAATTTTAGAAAGGGATAAATAGAGTTTGAGTTAACTTGGAAGTACTTATATTTATAATGACGTGTTATTCTTCTCATTCATTTTAGTACTAATATTGTTAATAGGAATTTACTTTTCACTTAAATTGTTATTAAAACAATCTATTCCTTTATATCTATCTGTCTTAGAGAAATCCTCATCTAGATCATAAGAATAGGAAATGGAGGCAATCACATTAAAGACTTAATCAAATAGTTAACCACCTTTGACAACCTGAAGTATATTCTGTATTTTTGGTCTAAATGTATTATATTATTAATATATTAAAATTATTTTAAATATTAATAAATCTTATGAATCTCATTAAGAAAATCTAATATATTATATCAATTAATTATGAAACACTATAAAATTAATATCTCATTCTATTTAATAATTAAAATACCGTTTTAGTGAATTATTGAAATCTTTTTAGGTACTTCTCTATTAAATTATTTTGTTAAATAATACTATAAAATCTTTTATAATTTTAATAGAACTCCTTTGTTAAAGTGTTATTAATAATTGATAATTGGAATGATAGAATTAATTAGATATATGATGGTAAATTCTATATTAATAACATTTAAATGTGTGTATAAAAGCATAAAAAGTTATCATTTTTGATTAATATTAAAAATGATGTAATCATAAATGGAAATTGAGAAAAAATTCAGTCAATGTGGTAATTACAATATACTTTAAACTTTGGGTTCTGGATATCATGCTAAGTAATATCTTTATTTAATTATTTAGAGTAAAATTAGGTGAAGAAAATGGAAAAAAAGTGGCCATAAAGATTTTTAAGAATTAGCATGATACAGCCTAAAACATCAAAGCACTTACCAATGAAATCAATATTCTTAAATAACTAAATCATCCCAATTTAGTCAACCTTATAGAATTCAACAATGCTCTTCCATATAGAGTAATAATAAATCAATATTTAAATAGAGAAAAAATGGATAAATCGAACAACGTGTATGCATTATATTGGAATTGGCTTCAGGTGGAGAACTTTTTGAATACGTAGCCTCATCTGGAAGATTCGCTCAAGAAACTTCTAGATTTTACTTTAAATAATTATTGTCTGCAATGGTATACATGACAAGCAAAGGAATTTGTCATAGAGATTTGAAATTGGAGAATATCTTATTGGATGAAAACTTCAACCTTAAAGTAGCTGACTTTGGATTCGCCAAAGTTATGGAAGCTGCAAAATTAAAGACAAGTCTTGGAACACCTGGTATCATATAATATATTAACATTTAGGTTATATGGCACCAGAAATAGTATTAAAGAAAGAATATAATGGAACTAAAGTAGATATATTTTCTGCTGGTGTTATTTTGTTTATTCTTCATGTTGGATCACCACCATTCTCATAGGCCTCTGATAAAGATTAATACTTTAGATTATTATTAAATAATAAATGGGATCTATTTTGGAATTAACATTTAAGATACAAGGGAGGAAATCCTGAATTTTTCCCATAAGATTTCAGGTATTTATAATTTAATAATTATTTTCATAGAAATTTAATGTATGGAATGTTGGCTCCAAATCCTGATCAAAGATTTACTTTAGAATAATGTTTGTAACATCCATGGGTGAATGGACCAACAGCCTCAATAGAATAAATTAATAATGAATTTAGAAAGAGACATGAAAGAGTATAAGCTGAAATCTTAGCTTCAAAGATGAAAAAGTAAGCCTAAAAGGAAAAGGCATAAAGTAATTATATCTTTATATTTATTAATAGAAGGACCTATTGGTAATTTCAGATCTATCATTGGTGAAAGTGAATAAGAAAATTTCACAGAAATTATAGAAAAATTTCATTTGAATTTTGAAAATAGATTCTTAACAAAAGGAAAAGATACAGGATTACCAAATGATATTACTCTTTATCAAGATCCAAAGTTTGTATTTTGTTATTTACTCAAATATTGTAAAAATTTCACCTCAAAAGTGAACAACATTCATGAAACAAAATATAAGGTAAATTCTTAAATTACATAATTAGATTAACTTTGAAATTGCTGATTAAAAAGAAGAAAATGCTGATTAATAAGAAGAAAATGCTGATTAATAAGAAGAAAATCTTTAATATTCAATAGAGATTTTAGATTGTGATGATGAAATGATTAAATTGAATTTGACTAAAATATCAGGAGATTATCTTAAATTCAAAGTGATCAATGGTTAAATTAGAAAAGCCATCAATGAATTTTTGAAAGAAGAAGTTAAATAGAATTGAAAAATTATGAATCAATTTAAATCATCTATAATAGTAAGAATTTAAATTAAAATCTTCATCATCATCATCGTCATCAATTATTGCTCTCAATGCTCTTTTTGGTTTAGCAGGTTAAATAGATTTTTGGTGTTATTTAATATTATTTTATTCAGCTTATTCAGCTAATTCAACTAATTTTTCTTTTTATCTTTCTATATTTCTATTATATTAACTCAAAACTCTACAATATAATATAAGAACATAAGCATAATCACAATTTTATACTTCTTATAAATCTTGATTTAAATTTTTAAAATAATAAAATAAAGGTACTAATTATAGAATCTATATATGTTACTTTTTTTATCTTTATAATCATCTGGAATTTCATCATCATTATCAAATTCATAATATCGACTCTTAAATTAATTTATTTTACTTAAAAATGAATAAATAAAATCTTGAACATTACCTTCTTTGATTTCTTCTCTCCACATATTTCTATTATATGGATATGTCCAATTTAATTATAAATATTAGCGAAAGAATTATGTTATTTTTTCTTCTATTTCTAATATCATATTAATAAGAATTTCATTTAAATTATTTACATTCTAACAAAATATTAAGTATTCAGGTTTTCCATCTTGTTTTTTATATTAATGTAATCCATTTTAATCCAATTAAAATTAAATATCTTTGCTTAATTATACTTTTCGTTTTTCTTCACAAAATAATTATAATTCTAAACATTTTTTCAACATTCCATCATCAATTTTATTTATTAATTAATGGATTTCATATCCATATATTAAATTAAAATTTTTGTTTATTTTTATTAAAATATAATCAGGCATAGCTTAAATAATCCAAACACAACATTCTTCATTTCTAAATATAATTTTCATTGAATTTACACCAAATTTTTATAATTCTTAAATATCAATATCAATTAAATTATTTAATTTAATTATTCTCTCATCAAGTTCCTCTTTTTCTTTTTCAATTTCCTTTATTCTTTTTTTATTTGAAATAGCTAATTATTTTCTACTCAATATCTTACGTTCTTCAATAATAATTTCATCTTATTAACCATATAATTCATGAAGTTCTTCTTACCATTATTTTTTAGACTCTTATTTCTTTTCTTTCACTATACCTTTTTAAAATAATTAAATTTTGTTTTAAATTACTCCATTAAACCATTTGCTTTAAAAAGCTAATATATTAACAATAAAAATTAAGATCTCTATTTTGTTATCAAAATCTATTTCATTAAATTATTCATCAGGAATTTCAATAGGATCTGCAATTTTATGATGCTCTATCAAAAATCTTAAAATGTTTGACATTTCATTGAAAATTAAACATTAACGAATACATCGACTAAATAATTATATAATCATACTTTTAATTCATCAACAATTAAATATACGGATGATGTATATCATTAAGATGTACTTCCAAATATAAGCAAACCAAATATTCAATCAAAAAACTTTTTTCATTATTTAACTAAATTTTGAGTTTAACTTCAATACCAAACACTAATAGAAATCATCAAAAGTAAATTTTATTTAAACATTCAATTCTTTAGTCTTAAAGAAGGTGTAAATTCTAACTACCTATTCGACTGATTTGTATTTAGTTAAGTTTAATTCATCTATTAGCTTTTACATTAAATTTAAATTTTCAATTAATATAAATATGGAAATTGCTTACTTCAATATAATTAAATATGATTGAACCTCTTTTGAAATGTAATTCAAATGGATTTTAATTTGTTAAATAATTTTATAATAAAACTCCAACTAATTTAGATGGGTTCAAGATTATCTAAAAATCGAATTTAGAAGTTTTATAGGAATTTTCTGAATAATTAGATAATCAAAATTGCAGATTAATTGAATATATCCTAAAATTCATCAGTGAATTAAAAATGATAAATATGTTTAGATTTTGCTATTCTTCTATAATATTATATAATAATATATCTTGAGGAGGATGAATATACAGAAATGTAATTATATATGTATTTGATTTTGTTTTAATGATATTGAAAAGTTTTCTTTAAATAAAAGCTATAAATTTAGAATAGAGAAATAAAGATGAGTAAGAGTTATTGTATTTATAAAATGATGAGCAGCAGAGAAATAACAGAAGGAGAAAGAAATAAAATTTCTGTTGAAACAAATTTAATTAACTTATGATGTATGAAGAATATGATGATTTTCCTCTTTGTTTTGTAAAGGCCATTCGTATATATTTAAATGGAGATTCTTCAAAGTATACAGATTTGAAGATTGCTTAAAATACAACGTGGAGTGATATTTAAATGTAATTGGATTAGAAATTTGGGAAATTTAAGGAAATGAGATTGTTTACACAATAGGGTGTAGAGATTTTTGATGATGATGTTAAGTTTTTTAAGGATGGATAATCTTTCTATGCATCTCGTGGAGGTATTATTAAATATTACAATTTCAGATGAATTTGATCCTTATTCACCATTCTCATAATATGAAACAATTAAACAATTAGGAGAAGGAGGTTTTGGATATGTGACACTTGGTAAACATAGGATTACAGGTGAATTAGTTGCAATAAAGATAATAAAAATGATAGGAAATGCATAAGACATAGAACTAAATTTTAGAGAAGCAGAAGTTCTACGTTCTTTAAGTCATAAGAATATAGTAAAAGTATATAATTCATATGCATTAAAAAATACATAAATGGCTGTAATAATGGAATATTTGGAAGGTGGTGAATTGAATGATAGATTAAAATAGAAAGGAGGAAGATTTTCTGAAGAAGAAGCATGCAAATATTTTAGATAAATTGTTTAAGCAATTTCATATTGTCATTAAAAAAATGTAGTTCATAGAGATTTGAAATTAGAGAATTTGTTATTTAGCTCAGCAGATTCAGATGAATTAAAAGCAATAGATTTTGGTATAGCTGGAATTTAATGTCCTACAAATACAGATCATGTAAATATTGGAAGTTTACATTATATGGCTCCAGAAATTCTAGCAGGTAAAGTAACACGGGTAAGTACATCAGTAGATATATGGGCTATGGGTATTATACTGTATAAGATGTTGTTTGGAAATGTTCCATTCAATGGAAAAACACAATAAGATATAATTAATAACATTATAAATAAGGAATTGCAATTCCCACCAAATAATTTAAGTGAAGAAGTTATTAGTTTGTTGAATTAAATGTTAGAGAAGAATAATGAATTAAGATTACGAATAACAGATGTTGAATTTCATCCTTGGGTAAATACAGATTAAAGAACTCCTCAACAGAAATAAACATTTTTATAAATACCATCAGAAGGAAGTATTCGTAAAGCTAGACCATCTGCTAGTCCTAGAGCAAGAAGTAAATCACCAAATCCTTCAGGCATTCTTAAACATCCTAATATATTCAAATTATGATTATTCACAATTTATAAATAAATATTAAATATTATGTTAAAATCAATAACAAGAAGAAGAAAAAAATATATTTTCTTAGATTACATGATTGTTTTATTTACAGCACTTTATCTAAGAATTAGAACTGTTGATATGGATTTTTACAGTTCTATTTAACCTAATTACATATAGTTATTGACTATTCTATTTGGATTAATGTTTGCCAAAATAGGTATTTATCAATTAATGGATGAAAGGCAGAGTATGGTGTATCTTTATATGTGTAAATTTAAATCTATACAGTGTATATTTGTTGAGTACATCAAATAATATAATTTTGGTGTCAAGCATTTATAAATTGACATATGATTGTTTGATTCTATTAGTTATTTGTCATAGTTTGAATGTATTTAGAGATAAAGGAATTTAAGCATTAACCTATTGTTATGCTTTTGGGAAGTATTAATTAAAATCTATAAGAGTTACCTTGAAATAGCTCAGCTATTTATTAATTTAAAATATTTCAAATACTTTTTGTTCATACTTATTGTCTCTCTATCTTTACTACGCTAAAGATGCAGGTAATTGCCCTAATCTAATTATTTTATTGTAATCAAGCATATGTGTACCATTAGAATTGCAGTAATATAATTAATAATACTTTTCTTTGTTCTTTAAGTAGCAATCAATTTTAATACCTTTATAGAAAAGGTAACATCATCTTTGGCAAGATATATTGTCTTATTTATATACCCTTTATTTCTCTTACAATTTAAAAGGGATTTTAGTCATATAAATGAGGGCATTATATTATTCAATGTACTTTTAAGTTTGCTTTTATTATTTGATTAATTGGTGATATTTTTAATGGCTTCCACTATTATACCACATATATTTATATTTTAATTTGCTCTTTTCACTAATATTTTTCAAGAAATTGATCCAAAAATATCACGAATAATCAAATACATAAATTACGATATAATTGTTTTAATTCATTATATCATCTTAAAGAATTCTTATGTTCATTACAATTCATATGTATAATACAAAAATATCATATTTTTTTTATCAATCATTATTGCAATATTTATATTTATCAGAAGTAAAAATTTATGCAAAACTTTCAGAAATAAACAAGATTATTATAATAATAATTCTTATGATTAATTTGAAAGTGCTAGAAATGATGATACTGTATTTTGAATATTTTATATAAATTAATATTAATGAAATTAACATAAGAGATTAAATTATCCTTATAAAAAACTCAGAAGGTCATTTCAATTCAAATGGATGTACATCATATAAATACATTCGTCAAAATATTCAAAAAATTTATCTTTCCTGGAAGTAGATGGTAATAAGAATAATAAAATAACAAATCCATCAATACTACATTCTAAGAACCTTTTCCTGAAAATTTATAAGAATTCATCAAAGAAAACAATTGTTAAATTCTATAAAAGGAAGTTATAGTTGGTTATGAGGATATGACATATAATGAAGTACTCTAAAAATTATTACCTCAAAATGTTTCAGCACCATAAGGTTATGAGATTATTGGTAAAATTGCTCATTTCAATTTGTCACCTGAATAATTACCATATAGATATTTAATTGGTTAAGTACTTTTAGATAAAAATAAACATTTGTAAACAGTATGTAATAAATTGGAAAAATTACATAATGTTTATAGAACACCTTAATTAGAATTACTAGCAGGAAAGAATTCATATGATGCTATTGTACCTGAAGGTGGTATAAGGTTATTTTTAAATTTTGAAAAGGTTTATTGGTGTACTCGTTTATATTCAGAAAGAGAAAGAATTATTAAATTTATAAAAGAATTATCAAATGGTTAAAAAATAAAAGTTTTAGATTTATTTTGTGGAATTGGTCCTTTTTCAATAAGAATTGCTAAAGATTTGAATGCTAATTGTTTAGCTAATGATTTAAATCCAGAATGTTTCAATTATTTATAAAAGAATATAGTGGAAAATAAGGTATAGAATTAAGTAATTCCATTGAATATGGATGCTAGAGAAGTTGTATTAAAGATTTATGATAAGGAAATAGACTTTGATTTTAATCATGTTTATATGAATTTGCCAGTTTTAGCATTAAACTTCTTGGATGTTTTCAAAGGATTTACATAGAAGACTGGAAAATAAGATTTACCATATATTCATGTATATGGATTTGCAAAAGGGAAAGATGATTAAGAATTGATTGAATAATTTTCATAAAGAATAATAAAAGGTTTACCTGGTTTTGATAAATCTTAAATTTTAAGATTCCATATTTTGAAGAATGTAACTAAGATGAAAAAAATGTGTTGTTTATCATTTTAGTTAGATAAAAAAAGTGCAGAATCAGATTTTGGTTTATTGGAATAAGATGATGGAAATAATAGTGATTTTGAAGATGATGAAAAGGTTGAATAAAATGAATAGGTTGAGGAGGTTATAAATAAGAAAGTAAAAATAGAATGAGAATGATTTAGAATTTTATGTTTAAAAACATATTATATTAACCAATTAAAGATGTAATTAAAATCTCACTTTTATTAAAATGTTGTTGCCAATATTTCAATCTTCATTCATATAGATCACTATGACTGAAATAAAAGTCAATGTGAATGTTTTCTAAGATAAAATGGTTATTTAAGGATTCAAAGGACGAGAAGAAAAAGTTATAGACTTTATTTCAACAGATTATTGTATTGAGTGGGATTATGCTACATATGATGTATTAAATACAATTTAGAAGTCAGAATAATTAATTAAAGGGTTTCACATTATGTCAATATGGACAAAGACTTTATTAATTTGAAGGTGAAATACTAAAAGTTACTGGACTGAGAAGTGTATTGAAAGGCAAAATGGGTTTTTTTAATTGGGAAAAAGAGGTTTCCTTCTTAAGATGGATAAAGAAAACTGATCACTGTGAAGTAATAATATTTAATAAACTGTAAGATTTTTCAAGTTTTACGGGGTGAAAATTTAAAAGTGATAAAAGTCCTTCAAGACAATAATGTATTACTATATTTCTATTCTAACATTAGTCTAATCTAGAATTATAAGTTAATCAAATGTTAAATCATAAACCTCATGTCAATCTTCTTCATTCAGAAGAATTTTACAAGGATGAATCATAAATTTATTTACTCATGGATTATCATGTTTAATCACTAGGTGATTTTTAAAATGAATATAGTAATAAAAAAATACCCATCAATGTTATTAGATCAATCTTATAATAATTATTAGAAGGTATTTTTAAATTATAAAAATAGGACTTAATCATTTACATTCACATCATATAATACATAAAGATTTAAAGTATGACAATATTCTATTGACTCAAAACAGAACCGTAAAAATAATCGATTTTGGCCTATCATAATTAGGTGATAATACTAATATCAAATCTGGAACTGGAGGTTATATTGCTCCTGAAGTATTTAAGAATTAAACAATAACTTCAAAAAGTGATATCTTTAGTCTTGGTGTTATATTTCACAAATTATTAACTGGAAAAGGTATATATAATAATCTTGATGAAAATATGGCTGGTAAAATGAAAATTAGTTCTCAAATAAAAGATAAGAATGCAAAAGATTTGCTATTGTCAATGTTGAATTAGGATCCTTAATTTAGATTCACTGCTGAGGATTGTTTGGCTCATCCGTTTTTCATAGGGGAATATGATTAACCTTCATAAAAGTATGATATAATTTTCATACTTTTTAGGATATGTCTAAGTAATTATTTGAGTCCCTTATCTCAATATAAATTCTAACCCATATCTACTTAAATGATTAGCTTATCTTTATGAGTCTTAATTATTATTATTATTATAAAATATATATATATATACATACTAGACATATTATAAAGTTCCATTTAATACTAATCTTAAAAATATTTAAAATAATGAATTACACAGACATATTAACATCAAAATTTGAACCAGAAACAACAGGTACAACTATTATGGCTGTCATTTATGATGGTGGATTAATAATTGGTGCTGATAGTCGTACATCTTCTGGGTAATTATCAATAAATACTTCAAAGACAATTTGTTGCAGATAGATGTGCTGATAAAATTGATTATGTCCATGATAGAATATTTTGTTTAAGAAGTGGCTCAGCTGCAGACACTTAAACAATTGCTAAATATGTTAGATACTATATTGATGCACATGCATAAGAATTAGGTAGATTACCTGCTGTTGCCACTGCTGCAAATCTCTTCAGAAACTTCTTATATGAATACAAAGAGTATATAATTTATCAATATTCTAAGTTCATTGTCAGCTGCCATAATTGTTGCTGGATGGGATCCATATAAAGGTCCATAGATATTCACATTGCCTTTGGGAGGATCAGTCATTGAATAGAAATGGAGTATTGGTGGATCTGGAAGTACATTTATTTGGGGATTCTGTGATTCTAATTACAAAGTATATTGAATCAAATTATGTGTTAAGGAAAATATGACACTTTAAGAAGCAAGAGCATTTGTTTTACATGCAGTAGCTCATGCCATGTATAGAGATGGATCATCAGGTGGAATTATTAGATTACTTAATGTAACCAAAGATAAAATAGAGAGAGAATTTATTGATTATAAAGATGTTCCAGTCAAATGAGTTTGCATTCATATATATATAAATATTATATTTCAGTAATTAACAATCTAATTAATCTAATCTAATCTAAGAAATTCAACTAAAGTCTTATAAATCTTAATATCAACTTTATCTATCGGATAATATTAAAATAAAAGTAGTTAAATTCATAACAATAATCAAAGATATTTTATAGAATATAATCAGAAATATATAGAGATATCTAATTTTAATACATATTTAGATTAAATACATACATATTATATAATAAATTAAAAAATCAAAAAGAGTAGTTCTGATTAGATGTATATTTTTCTTCTTAATCTGAATCTGCATCATCATATTCAACTAAATGATCTTCCATAAACTCTACCATTTCTTAATACTTCTGACTTTTATAATCTAATAATTTACGCACTAATCCAATAAGCTATGTTTATAATACTAAATCTAAATACTTGATCATATTTTATGAACTTTCTATTTAAATAAGCAGGATGTTCATAAATTATTTAATTTACAATATCTTCTGGATTTGTTAGAAATATTAAGTTGTTTAATGAAATCTGATAGAGATGTTTTTTCTTCTCTTTCTAATGTTGCTTATAAACCAATCCTATTATTGGGGGTTCAAACTTTAAAACCCACTTTATTGGTATTACTCTTATCCCAAAAGGCTCAACTTAATTCATAATATAATTATAAATATCAATTAATATGACTTCTATATATTATTGTATACAATAAAATGTCATTTCTCAAAGCACTAAGCTTTCTTCAAATTTCATCAATTCAAGCTTCTCTTTTTTTTATTGTTTACACAAAATTTACGTAAAATTATTGAATATCCATATAATAGTAAAAAAAACAAGAAAAAAAAAATGATTTATTTGTTGTTAATTTAAATTTTAACTTTTCAGTCATCAGATAGATTTAATATTACTATAAATTGAATTAGTATATAAAATTAAGAATATAGTTCCTTAAATCATGAGTTAGAATAAAACAATTTTAATCTATTTATTATGCATTTGTCATTTGATTCTTAATATTTTAATAAATTCAATAATTTCAATAAAATTAGAAGAATATTTTATTGTCTAATCTCTTAAATCACTCTAGGAAACAAGTAATATTATTTCTAAAATTTACAATCACTCATTAAAGCTAAAAAGACATATTTAAGATATAAATCTCTATTATATTTATATTTAAATTTAAAGTAGAGATTCCATCAAATAAAAGGTATCATTTCTTTTGTATTTTTATTTATGTATTTTTCGAACAGATTATCTTAAAATTAAAATTTGACTTGTACTTGAATGACTAACTATGCTATTCCATTTTATTGCAGAGGAGCACTCAGAAATATTGTTTATTTATTAATAAAAGTCAAAGTTATTGAAATAAGTATTTAAGAATTGCAATTTCTCATAAAATTAACATAATTATCTTATTTTTATTTCCAATATTATCAAAGATATATATTATTTATCATTTCATTATCATCTATTTGATCAATCAAGAAATAGTAGATTTAATAAAAAGTTGGGTAGAATAGGATATCTTAAGTATACTATTTAATTCATAATGGAGAAATAAGTTGTTAAATTTCTGTTTAAAATTGTTAAAGGAGTTAAATATATATTGAAATAATATTATTTATATAAATAGATTATTACTAAATTTGATAAAATAGTTAGATATTATTGTATTTATTAAGAATGAAAAAGATATTTATTTAGAATAATATAAACTCTAGACAATGAACAATCGATTAATATATATAAACAATTATTATTTAAAATATTATATAAACTGTAACATCATTTCATAGATGATATTAACATTGTTACTAATCATACAGAAAATAAATGCAGATTGTATTGCTAATTAATTTTTAACATTTCCAAAATAGGCTGAACTAGTTTATGTACACTTTATTATGATAATGTATAGGCAGTTAAGAGGATCACTATAAAATTAGAAGGTGAATATATTATTGGTTATGGAGATGAGTATGAAGTTAGAGACAAATCAAAAATATCGCTTAAGTAAGTACCATCTGGTAAAATGTTTGCACCTTCTAATTTTGAAATTTATTGTCCAGCTGTGCATTAATTATCTAGAAAAGATAGTATTAAATGTGAAATCTAATTAAACATGGAAGAAGTTGATGCTGTTTTAACAGATCCAGCTGAAATTCCATAAAAAGCTAAATTTGTCATTCCAATAGAAGTAGATAAAGATATTAAATCGAATCCAGTTTTTGAAATAGAAAATAACTTTTAGATGAGATTGATGGATTTGGCAAAATAATTAGAAAAACTAGCTTATTATTTAGAATATGAAAATTGTGATATTCTTGTCTATATTATCCCTAAGCCTTTATCAATATCTTCAGATTAAATAACTCTTTTATAAAAATATTCAAAATCAATACCTGAAGGAGCTTCAATAGAAGAGATATCAGAATCTAGTAAAGGAGAGTTGTATGTAGAAAATTTGTCTCTAGATACTAATTCAAGTACTCATCATTACGGTTTAATCGCAATTGTAATAGGAGTAATAGCTTTGGCAGCCATCAGAGCTTTCAGGTATAGATTTCTATTAATTTTATAAGTAAAAAGAAGGATCAATAAAATAATCCTGATTAACAACCATTAAATTAGCAGGAACTATAAAACTTAAAATGAATTTATTAAAATAATAGTGATTTATCATGAGTTCTTGTAAAAATTATAAATAATTCTTAATTAGAAATAGTATAAATCAAATTTATTTAAATTATTCTTATTATTTGTGTCTCTCTTGTAAATGTATAAAATTAAAATAAATTTAATTTGTTTTGTTTAATAAGTTGAGACAACAAAGGATAATAAAATAAAATAATAATAAAGAAAAAATTGTAAAAAAAAATTAGTTAAATAGAAAAAGATATAATATATAGTTAATTAGATTAGTCGAATTTCCTATTTATAATATTTGTTATTGATTTATTATAAAATATTATTTTAATAGAAATTCATATTAAATTTTATAATGGCTTATTAATAGAAAAATATTATTAACAAATAAAAGTGAAATATTTGAAAAAGATCTAGCATTTTTATGATATAAAATTAAAGTGAACTTGAAGGAAATAATTCAATGCAAGCATAGAAAAAAATTAGTGTAAAATTATAAATTAGGCTTGATAATGCAAATAATGAAGAACAGAATGATAATTAAATTATATAAAATGTTTTTGTGTATTATTAGGATTAAAATGAGATGAGCATTGATTTTAATCATAGCAAAATGGAAATAGATAATAACCAAATATGGTTTGCTAATATTGAGATTGATCCTAATAATGTTTATAAATACTTTTATAAAGTCTAATAAAAAAATAAAATAAAATAAGAATCTCAAACAAGATATTTTAAATATGATTAAAATGGAAGAATAGCAATAGATGAATGGAATAGTGTTTGGTGTTTGTATAGATATTAATAGGAGGATCCTAAAATATTGGAATATTTTTAAATTAAGATTAAGGATTATCATAAAAAATCATATTAAAGTATTGATCATTAGAATGTTAATGAATCTGGAATCACTTATTTAGAGTGTTCAGAAACTCTTAAGTTTTAAGAATAATAAAAAAGATAATTTGCATTTATATATAAAAATAATTAAGATTAGGTTGAATTGAGTAATTAATTTGATCCAAGAAAAGGGAATAGTTTTATGAATAATTATGTATTGAATAAGTTTAAAGAGAGTATAATATTAAGTAATGAATAAGAATAAAGAATAAATACATTAGTATCTTAAAAATAAAATATTTCAAATAAAAATGAGGAATAATATAAAAAAATCATATAAAACTTAGAAAATAAATATAATATGAAGTAGATTGAAGTAAATGATTATCGATTATAATTACAAAAAGAAATTGAGAGAATTAAAGAATCTAAAAATAAAATTGACTAATTGGAATAGAGATTAAAGAGTTTAGAATCGGAAAATAATCATTTAATTATAACAATATAAGAAAATGAAAGATTATTTAATATAAAGTTAAAGTAATAAGAGTATTAAAGAGAAGATTAGATTCTTAAATATTTAGATAATAAAAATATTGAATTTTAAAATAAAATGGAATAAGTTTAAAAAAGAAACAATGAAATGTTAAAAAAATAATAAGAAAAAATGGAAGAGGATTAGAAATCTTTGTAAAAGAAATCTTAAGAAGTAATAAACAAATATATCTAAATGCTTGAAGAAGCAAATTAGAAAATTAGAAATTAAGAATTAAAATCTATTTAATTTGAAAGTGATGATATAAAAATATAAATTGATTAATCTGAAATACCTGAAGATTATAAACAAAATATTAAAGATCTAGAATAAACTATATTATAATATAAGAATACAGAATAAAGTTTGAAAAAGGAAAAGGAAGAAGTAGAAAAATATTATAATGATAAACATGAAAAATAAAAATCATAATATTAACTCAAGACTTAAGATTTACTTAATAAGGGTGTACAATGTTAGTAAGAATTAAATAAATGCAAATAATTGTTAGAATTAAAAATTAAAGAATCTGAGGAAAAGGTTTAAAAACATGATTAAAAAGTAGAAAGGTATTAAATACAATTAAAAGTACTTTAAGAAAAATTTAAGAAAAAATCTGATGACTTAGAAATCTTATTATAGGCTTTTAAAGAATTAAAAGAGAAATTAGAGAAGGAACAAGAAAAAAATTATTAATTATAATAAGAACTTGAATATACAATTAAATCTTCAGAGTAAAAAAGATAAGAAGAATTTATGAATTTTAGATAGGCTCATGATTAAGAAATTAAGTAGTTATAATAATAAAATTAATAAGAATTACTTTTAGAGAAATAAAAGCATGAACAACTTTAAATAGAACAATAATATTAATAAAAATAGATGCTAAATGAATTAATGGAATCTACCTATTAAAAAATAAGTGATGTAATATTAGATCCTTATTTTGATATTTAAAAAAAATTCCATAATAATTTAATTCTTAATTTCAAAAGTGAGATTAAAACTGTTATTAAAGAAAATATTGATAACTTTGAGACACCAATTAATTAATTGTCATTAAAATTATCTCATATTGAGGAAGAAACTTTAGAAGAATTAAAATTAAAAGCATTAGAGAAACATGATGAATTAGTTTCAACAATATAAAAATTTAAAGATGATTCAAAAATAGAAAATGCTTAAATATTAAAAGAGAGTTTCAGTAAATATACTGCTGTATGCAATCAAATATAGGATATGGCTATGAAAATAAACTTTAATAATGATTCTGATGGAGAATATATCTTTTAATTAACTCAATGGAAATCAGTTTTAGATTAAAAATTAGATTCTGTTTTTAGATTGATTAGTTTTTCAAATGAATTATAAGGATGGAATTAATAATTTGAAAATAGTAGAGACACTATTACTAAAGCATATTTTGATTTATAAATAAGACATAAAAGCTCAATTAAATGAAGTGAAAATTATAGATATATTTTATATTAATATGAAAATCATTTATATTAAATATTATAATGAAAAGTATTGATGAATATAAAAAAATAGTAATTACTTTGAAAAAGAAAGTAAAGTTATTACAATAAGAATAATAAGATTTAAAAAGGTTATAATAGGAAAAGGT